CCAGATTTCAAAAACCTGAAATGGGTCTCAATGGATGAAACTCAAGGAGCTGGCAGATGGCATTCCTTCTGGAGGCTTGAGGGGAGAATCTGTTTCCTTACCTTTTCCTTCTCCTAGAAGTCCCTACACTCCTTAGCTTTGGCCCTTTTCCCCATCTACAGAGCCAGCACTGTAGCATCTTCACATTTCTCTCAGACTCTGACCTTCTGCCTCCTCCTTCTACATTTGAAGTGCCCTTATGATTGTATTGGGCCTTTCCTAATAATTCAAGATAATCTCCTTATAGTAAGGTCAGCTGATTAGTAACCTTAATTTCATCTGCTACCCTAATTCCCCCGTGCCATGTAACAGAACATACTCATAGGTCCCAGTAATTAGGACATGGGCATCTTTGTGGGGCAATTATTCAGCCTGCCACACATGCAGTACAAGGTGTTGAAGGTGATATGAAGAGAAAATATCATCCATCCATATCAGGCCCCAATATCAGGGGCCTATAACCTGGTATTTTTTTTACATGGAGGTGTCAATGTGCTGCAGTTTTTCTGTGGGCATGTTTCAGTTAACTACTGCTACATAACAAATCACCCAAAGCTTGGTGTCTTAAAACAACACTCTCTTCTCGTGATTCTTTGAGATTTGACTAGGTGACACCAGAGCTGGCTTTATCTGGGCCCCCTTATAAAGCTACATTCAGCTGGAGAGTTAGCCAAGGTAGAAGATCCAAGATGGCGTCACATTATATGCCCTTTGGTGAGGCCATTGGCAGGGCTGCCTCAGCTGTTCTCACTGTGAATTTTCATTCTCTGCGAGGCCAGGCCAGCTTTCTTAGATGACGGACCGCATTCCAATGTCATGCAGGTAGAGGTACAGGGACTCTGGACTTACACAGCATCACATTCTTTTGGGTGTGTCCATTCAGTCACAAGGCACTCAAATTCAAGAGGAAGGGAAACAGATTGCATCTTATGACGGCAGTTGCTGCAGTGGCCATACTTCATCTAGCACAAGAGGTAAAATGCTTCTGGATTACAACAGCATCCAGCACATGATCAAAAGTATGACTGGCTCAAGTAGAGTGTGGCAGATATCGCTGCTGTTGAAGACGGCAAGAAACTGTGAGGCTAGGGTGTGGGGAGCGCCATCCTTGAGCCCACAACAAGAAAGCTGAGTTGGTGGTGAATGTGGAGAAGGGACCTGAAGTTCAGGAGGTGACAGTAATAATGGCATGGGCAGATGTGGGATAATTAAGTCAGATGGGGTCATTGGATAGCCAGGAGATCATGGCCTCTATGTTCTACCTCAGCCTTATCGATGGTGGACACTAGCACCCAGAGCAGGAGGCAGCCTTGCACCACCCCACCAAGTCCTTCACTTGCCAACCTCCATATTGTCTTGTGGACTTGCCAGTTTTCAAAGAAATTTACCACTCCTGATTTCCAGAGTGTGCAGGTAGATTTTTCAGGTATTTTAACCTCAATGCCTATGTTCTGAGGATTCAGTAAAAGTATGACATGAAGTTCAAGTCAGTTTTGAGTAAGAAGACTACAAAGCTGCTATAGTAGCAGGTTACCAATGTCAGTTCTTCTAGGTTTTCTTTTTCTTTTATACCTTCCCTGTCTCCTCAGATGTGTACCTAAAGGCAAAAGGGTATCTGCATAGTTCTGCAGGATTTACGGTGGTGAAATTTATTAATAGTGCTAAATGAATAATATTTATTACCCTCATTCTGGGTAAATAAAGATTAGAAACCAGATAGTCATTATCCAGATGGTCCCAAGAGCTCATTCAACCATAAGAGTGCCAGATATGAGTAAATTAGAGCCCATAACAGGAAAAATAAAATTGCATATTTTCATAATTGCTACCATAATTTAATGTTCACTTGTATATGTGTAACAGATGAACAATTAGTTTACAACAATACATGTGTAGCATGAGTTTACATCTTTGGCTGTAACTTCATGCCCTTATAATGCTTTTTAGATTATGACAAAATAAATTTCTACGCATACACACATACGCTCACACACACACACACACACAGATCTTCAGTATTTGAAGATCCAGAAAACCGTTCCTGGAAATTCCATGTCTACAGTGCTTACCAGGGCTGTGAATGTTTAGTTCTGCCCTGCCTTTTATTTCCCCTGCATGCTGTCCACTTTGCACAAGGTTCAGCACCTTTGGCAGTCACCTCGGTTGTGAGCAGATTGCTAGAGATTAGAGGACTCATAGATGTTATTCTCACCTTTGACACAGAAATTCTTTTTAGGACTGTGCATGAGATGTGTCTATAAATAAGTAATGATATTTTTGTAATCATAGCTGTAATATAAAACTAGGAGGGCGTTGGTCCCCTCAAAGTAAGCAGTCTCCTATAAAAGCTACACAGCTACTCCAGCAGAGCTACCATGTTTCAAATTATGGTGGGGGGAGTCCTCTTTGAGGGGCTGTTGTCAGAGCTGGTTTGCAAGGCAACGCTCAAACCAACTCTACGTTTTTTGTCTCGTATCTCAATTTTTACTAAATTCATGCATTCACCAAATTTTAGGGACTAGCTCTCTGACTTTTAATTGGCTAAAAAAAATTAAATAAAATAAATTACACTCTCAAAAGAGTAAGGTTTTCCTCCACATAAGGCATTCAAAATAATATATCTCAGTTTCCAGAGTGTGAGGCTCCCAATGCAGCCTGTTTTTCTGGCGCAGGCTGCCCCAAGCTAATGTCACCAGAAACTTATTGAAGACTGTTAAGCATTACCATTCTATTCCAGAATCTAGAAATGCCTCCTAAAAAAAATTGTTAAGCTCCTTTTCTAAATCTACTATTTTTTAGTTAACTGTATCCTTCTCCCTCCCAGAATTTTTTCTGCCTTCTTTGCCTAAGGTCATCTATGCTCCATCTTGTATTTATGTTCTTCATTTTTCAATGACTTACCCTTTAATTGCTCTACTAAAATGTATCCCTTTTATAGATCTTTGTGATTATTAATCCAATTCTGGTCTTCCACCTGACTCAATTTTGTTGTCATCTAAAGGCAATCATCTTCAGTATCTTGATTATAATTTTTGAAGTCACCTATGTGTTGGGTATGGCACCGGGACTGAAAACATCAGTTTACCTAATCCTCACAACAACCTTAGGAGATTCCTACCTCACAGATGAGGAGGCTGAGTCTCACAAAGGGAAAATAACGTGCCCAAAGTCAAATGACTGGGAAATGGGGAAACTAGGATGGAAACTCACATCCATCTAAGGCAGGAATTTCTCAACCTCAGCACTATGACATTTTGTTGTGTGGGCTGTACTGTGCATTCCACTGTGTTAGCAGCATTTCTGGCCTCTACCCACTAGAAATCAGTAGCTCCCCCAAAACCATTGTGACAACCAAAATATCTCTAGACACTGCTAAATGTTCTCCGGCTGGTACTTAAGACCCACTAATCTAATGCCAAAGTCATGCTTTTGCCATATTATCCTATTAAATAGGGAACTAGTAAAACCATAGAATGTTAAGGCTAGATTTTAAAGAAATAAATATTAGGAGTTACCACACCTGGCTGATCCTCAGAATGGGAGATTTGTTTAAGATTCTTTTCCCACCCAAGACCTTCAGAACAGTATTTGCCAGTTGGGCAGCAAGTATCTATTTTAAGCCTCTCCACGGCATAGAGACCACAGATCAGATCCTAATCTCATCCCACATCTGTTCCTTGAATCACTCCACTCACATCACATAGTGCTCCGGCCTCTGGTTTATCACCTCCTGTGCTGGCATTACAGGAGACAGTTTCGTGTTCAGATGGTCCGAGCTGTGAAAAAGCATTCTTCTTAATATTCTTCGTTCTATCTCTCTTGCTATACTCCTAATCTCATATTATGCACGTGATCATTTTTCTCAAATCAGTTCAATTATTGAGTCCCCATTATGTAGTAGGTCCTACAGCCTCTTCACCATTATGGCCATTAAAACCATTATCGACTCTAAAAATGACCATCTAACCAGTTTTCTCCGTTGGACAATACACTTCCTCAAAAGGGTGATTACAATTCATTAAAATCTTAAATCTTAAAATCTTAAATTGGTTGGCCGTCCATCTAATCACTACCGGAAAGCAGTCTTCTCCACATTTAGTGGCAGCAGCTTTTCCCCTTCCTCTTGACCCCCCCCTCCCCAACTCAGCAATTCTCTTTAAATCTTTTTTAATGGTTTCAGGAAGATTCCAAAGTAGTTCCTCATCCTGATAAAAACACTCTTTACCAAATGTTTCAGATTTCTGGATGAAAACACAAAAAGGAGGAGAATAAAAAGAAATATATTGCTTAATGGTGCTGCTCTTGGGAATATATTTTATTATGAATGTGATTAATAAAAATCAGTCAGTGGCTAAATATAAGCTAATTAATGTATCAAATGTCAGTCTTACAATTTACTCTTTAGGAATGTTGGGTAGTGCTTTCTGCTTGAACTTCTGAGTCTCCTCTATGTCACCACGATAGTCGAAAACCTATAGAAAACTGCTCTCCAATGGGAGGTGTTGAATCATGGGAAGACTGTGAGGGCACGGACACTGGTATTGCCAAGGTAGCATAGGCCCTAATGCCTGAGGTTAAACCTGCAGGCAATGAGTTCTCTTTAACGAGTCAACGTGAGTAGCTAGTGAGCTATAACAGTGCTCCAGCAGTCCTGACTCGTCTGGATGGATATCCAGTAGGCAGATTGTATTTAGAGAAAACCAAGGAGAAAATAACACGTTAACCAGAATAAACCGTTTGGGGTCAAAATAACAATCCAGTGTTTTTGTAGTTGTGTGAGATATAAAAAGAAAACTTAAGTTTCACTTAGGCTTAGTAAAAACTACCAAACTTCCTGCTTATGCTTGGGCACCTCCCAAGCAGTCCCTAGACAAAGAGAAAACTGTCCAAACCCCTCAAGTCTTTGATTGCTCTGGAAAGCCTAGGTGTCTTGAATGTGGTGTCCCACCCTCTTCTTGCAGAGTTGTATAAATGGACACTGACATGGACTACGAAAGACCCAACGTTGAAACCATCAAGTGTGTGGTCGTGGGAGACAACGCCGTGGGGAAGACGCGCTTGATCTGTGCCAGGGCATGTAACACAACACTAACACAGTATCAGCTGCTGGCCACCCATGTACCAACTGTGTGGGCAATTGACCAGTACCGGGTCTGCCAGGAGGTAAGATGTGCAGAGTTTCTTTAGAATCCTCAGGGAGCATCATCGCTACTACCAGTCTGATTTTAAAAGGGGGATGCAGGGGTGTGGCATTACTGCATTCAAAATAAAACTAATATTTTTAATGGCACAAGAGAAAACAAAAGCACAATGCAAATTTAGAAATATGGCTATGGTATCCTGAATGAGGTGGTTGAATCATGTGATTCCAGAAAGAGAATTAGGCTTAGTTTAAGTCCTGTTAGGTGGAACGAGAAAACTAAAAGTGAGTGAGTCGGATGGGCATTGAGGGATGCGGATCCAGACATCCTTCTCCTGGGAGCCTTTGAATGGCTCTGAGCATGAATGTTCTTTCTCCTTCAGGTCTTGGAACGTTCCCGAGATGTGGTTGATGAAGTGAGTGTTTCTCTCAGGCTTTGGGATACTTTTGGCGATCATCACAAAGACAGGCGTTTTGCATATGGCAGGTAAACCCGGAGTAGTCAGCAGTTGAGCTTGACTACAATTTCCTTCCCCAAACCCACAGCTGCTTCATAAAGCAACAGAAACCACCTCATATGGCCTTAAAATGTGTTGGGTCCTGCACTGTGTCTAAAAAAAGACCAAAAAAAAAAAAAAAACCCAGAAACAACAACAAAATGACATTGTTTCCTGTTGTCAAGAAAAGCAGTCTGCCTTGCCCCTCTGTTCCTCCCAGGAAGTACTTGACTAAAAACAACTAGAGTGCTAGTTAAACTAGGATGTTTGCTAGACAGGAGTCCTCTGTGCCCTCAGCCTCGGGTGGCTTCGATTGCTGTTTTCCTGAATAATGCTTTATTTGCTTCTGTTAAAATGTTTTAAGTTTGCTTAGCACACGGCCACCCCACTTCTGAAGGTCTCTTTAGTCTTTTCATGACCATATTTGCAGTCCGATGTTATTTGCTTTGGGCTTTGTTATCTAAGAAGTCTATAACTTTTATGTGAAGGTCATTTTTAAAAAGAAAGAAAAATATCTGTGAAGTCCTTCACGAGGCACATGTCCAAATTGAACTAAAGCATTTATATCTATTTTTCATTCCAAAAAAGAATATGAAAAAGGGAAATCCGGTAAAGGGAAGACTGATCTAAAAGGACATTAATATGAGTAGGAACATGTGCCTTAACATATTTAGAAATTTCTTGTCCCCCTAACTCCAACAGACTCTTTGTGACAAGCTTTCTTAAAGGCTATCTTAGGCAATGTGTTATAGCTATCGCCAGATAAGGGATTATTTTTTTACCTCTTAATTGTAAATTAACACATTTCAAGTTTATAATTCAGGTCTTATGGATCGGTTCCCTTGTTACCGTCAAACATGATGTTACCTCATAGAATTGATTCATTTAGATACTCCAAACACAAGAGTTACTCCTTGGTATTGAGATGAGCATTTCTGAAAGTTATCTCTATTTCTTTAAGCCAGTAGCTCTCTGCAAGCCTCTGAACACACTTTTATTGGCATTTATCCAAGTGGTCTCAAATACTGAATAAACCACTGGAAGAGTTTGCCCATTGCTGAGAAGTCATTTACATACTGAAAGAATCTGCAATTTAGACAAGTTTGTTCAAGGGAACTCAGAAAGAGGCATATGAAAGTAAAACATTAATTTTAATGTAACAAAACCGTTTGGTAACAAGGACTTTTGAACTTAATACTCAGCATCATAGATACTTTTCTTCTCCCTAGTTTCTTGTTGTTTTTTCTTTCCTTGACTTTCTTCATTTTTATCTTAGTTGCCATGTTAGTTTTTTACTTTGTGCAATAATTCCACAAACACATACAGAATAATGAACCTGCTTATAAGTACTATGCAATCACATTTGTAGTATCTGTGGTTTTTAGGAAATATAATAAAATGTTCACTTCAAGCAAAGTAAGAATATACATGGTCATTTTGAAGGACCTAAATATGAGCTTACTGAAACTGGGTTTTGCTTCTGCAGGCTGGTTTAGTACCTCATTGGTTTTTTGCCACTTGAAATGTATGCTTTTGAAATAATGAATTTTAACCTGGCTCTACAATGTAAAAGTGGTATGATGGAAATATGAAGTTTGCTTCATTACCATGTGAGATTCCTGCTTAGGATTGATTTAATGGCAAAATAGCCTTCATTGATCTGATATTGACAGGCATCTACATTGGACGTCGACCAGCTCCTTCCCTGATATTTCTGGAGTCATTTTACAACTCCTCATGCCGGTTCTCATTCACCAACAAAAACAAGCAGCTTTTTCATGTGACTCCATCAGTTCAAAGAGCATTGTTCTGCTCCCTTGTCTGGCCTGTTTGGTTCTATGAACTGTAACCAGTTCCCCCTTTGATGGAAACAGGATGCGCTTCCCCAGCCAAGTCTGATGCTCGGCGTGGCACACAGGGGCTTCAGGAAACACCCCCATGTTTCTGGCCGAGCCCTCAGCGCACCTCACTTTACGCACGTGTTTGCACCTTGTACTCCTGTCTTTTCCAGTTCTCCACACCCTCCAGGCGTTCTGCCACCACTGGTGAAAAACAAAAACCAGAGCTGTTCTGTCTTGGACTGGACTCCAGTATCTTTCTGTAAATGCTAAAAATTGTAACGCCATATTGATATAGCACCACAAAATTACATACTGTGGAAAAGTCTGATAGTAGTAGGAGGTTTCTTTTAGTCAGTATATGGCTCTTAACCATTGCACTCCATTGCTGTGTGAAAGCTGCTGAATTTCTTTATGACTTTCATTGTTAGCTTCATATAATTTGTGAAGGAGAACTCTCCTAATGGCACAGTTCCTGACAACCAGTTTGGTTTGTCAGCCTGTTCTTTGACTGACGTTTTTACTATACTTGGTGTGGATTACACGCCAGTGAGATGTGATAGATTCCTTATACTTGGAAATATACTTGAAGCCTTTTTGAAATAATTCATTTGATTGTTGTGGTGACAGTGAGAGAAACCAGATTCCTAGCGAGATGGCTTAGACCTCCCCTTCGGTCTCCTCTGCTTCTTAGCACCGCCCGAGTTAGTAATTTGCCCCCTCAAACATTCTTTGGCACGGACAAGCTCTACTTTGCTGAGTGGATCCTGTGGGCCAAGGGAGTATCAGTCTCCTAATTTGAATGTGCAATTTTCCTAGGATGGTATAACTATAACCAGAATGGTGTTGCTTTTTTTATGATAGTCAACTAACGGTTTAAATCATTTTTTTAGCCAACTAGAATAGTAGCTTCAATTTATCCAAGGCCTATAATGTGCCAGTCTAAATATTTGGTGCTTTGCCACCATTAGTTAAATTATTCCTTTTAGGAACCCTGAGAGGCCCAGATTACTTCATGCTACAGTTGAATGAGTTGTGTTCTTTTATTACCGTAACTTGCCCACCAGTGAGTTTCGGAGGTAGATTCAAACTCAGCTCTGCCTGACTCCTGGCTCCCGGCTCCCACTCTCTCTACTGCACCAGGCTACCTCCCCTCATTATAAACAGGATGCAACTGAAAACCACTCCACTTTGATGAACTAGATGTCTATTTGCAGTTTTGTATTTGTACAAAGACTTAGAACTAGAAGAGATCTCAAAAGGTCATCTGGTTGACTTCTTTTCCTCACAAAGGGAAATCATCCATCCAAGAAAAAGCAGTGATGGGAAGAAGTCCTTCTAGTCGCTGGAGATGAAAGGTAGCAGAGTAGCATCAGCATCCAAACACTTAACACATTTGAGATCTGTCAAACCCTCTCTTGTCTGGAGCGAATGACTCCAGCTCTCTCATAGCCTGTCTTCCTACCACCTCCTTTCTATCCACTTTTGGATGAACTTTTGAAGCTCTTTTCTGGATCTTTTAAAATGTCAAGAACAAAACTGTACATAGAAACCATGACTGTGATCAGCTGCTCTTTGTTTGGCAAGAAAAGAGCCTCTTTTAAAAGGGATATCACTCAACTCAGAGTTTTTTCCCTGGAACTATTTTAAGAGTGAAGCATTCACACTTAGGTACCTGGCATTGAAAATATAGACAAATAGGATGGACCCTGCCTTCAACAGGACACCTGGGCCCCTCTGCTCCTCTCCAATAGTCACACCACGCATAAATAACTACAAATTGTATTGTTTCCTTTCATTGGAAACTTCCATCATTGATCTGCCTCAGGGTCAGATAACCTTCAAACACTTAAAAAAGCCTATGGTGCTGAAGGTGGTGGTGATAACAGCAGCTATGATTTAATTCGGGCTCCCAGGAGCCAGGCATGTGAGAGGTGCTCCACAAATCTTGCCCCACTTCATTCCGGTGGTGACCCTGCAAAGCAGGCTCTCTTCATAGTTGAGCAAACAGGCACAGAAAGGGGCCAAGGTCAGACAGCTAAGAGGGAGTGAAACTGAATGTTCCCTTTCAGTTTTGTCTGACTGCAAAGCCTGTATCTTCCCTTTCCACCATGCTTTTGTGGCTGATGATGATGTTTGATCACACATTTACTTTAAATTTATTCCTGGTGCAATCTAATTCCTGCGCTGTTTTTTGTGGACACTGAAGACCAGCATTCACCATCTGTCAGCAGCTCTAATATTCCATTGTTCCTCTGAAGTTTTTATATGTAGCAAACAACTTCATTCTTTCAGTGCAGCCATAAGTAGCTAAACATGAGTTCTTTCGCTCGGAGTCCTTTCACCTGCAGGAAAGATGATATATTCAAGTGAACTTTCTGAAAGTAAGTAGGAATCTTGGGCACAGTTGTTCCTTCATTTCTGCAGGTTCTGCCTCTACAAATTCTACCAATAACAGATTGAAAGTATTCGGGGAAAAATGTAAATGTTGTTGCTGGCATGTACTATGTAGGTAATCCTATGATGGTTGCATCTGTACTGAATATGTACAGACTTTTTTTCTTGTCGTTATCCCCTAAACAATATGGTATAATAACTATTTACAAGCATTTACATTGTATTAGGTATTATAGATAGTATAGAGATGGTTGAAAGTATACCGGAGGATCTGCATAGGTTATATGCAAATACTGCACCACTTTACAAAGGGACTTGAGCATCCTCAGATCATGGTATCCACGGAGAGTCCTGGAACCAATCCCCCATGGGTACTGAGTGACGACTCCTTTATATGGCATGCTTTCTCCCCCAAATTTAACTTAAGCATGCAGAACCACTGTACTTGTCCTTCTACCCAACAGTTTCTGGGCATATTTTCAGTCCAGTTGGAATCCATTTATTATATAAATTATTCTTACACTCTGATTTTTCTCAAATGTTATTAGCTCCTATGAAAAGTAAAGTACATGTTTTAGATGGTAACATTAATCAGAACTGTGGTTTCTGTGTGTCTATTTAGATAAGGTGGGTCCAGTTTCACACTGAAGGCACATGTAATCAGATACAGCATGAATACATCCCATTTTGAGTGCTTGGTTGAGGCCTTTTAAAAAATTCAGGACTATGGCTGACCAGTGTTTGTGTCTTTGTCT